TCTTTAAAAAATCCACGCCTTTGATAACTGGCCCTTGAAAAAATATTCTTTAAAAAATCCACGCCTTTGATAACTGGTCCTTGAAAAATCCTCCCCCTTGATAACTGTTCCTTGAAAAAATATTCTTTAAAAAATCCACGCCTTTCATAACTGGCCCTTGAAAAAATATTCTTTAAAAAATCCACGCCTTTGATAACTGGCTCTTGAAAAAATACCCTCTTTAATAGACTACCAAGTACCCACCATTCTCTGTTACTAATCAGTTTCGCGTTGCCAACCACAAACATTGGCTGACAGCAGGCCTTCACGTGCATTTGTTTTGATTCGCATCAAAACAACAGAAAATTTATATTTTCCGAACGTTTTTTAAATTATTGAATAATTCAATCAAATAAAAATACAGAATACCCAAAAATCATGGCAGTAAAACCGAAGAAACAAAAGAAAATTAAAAAATCCCCCAAAGTACCAAAAGTGGTGAACGAAGATGTGGAAATGTCCGGTAGTGATGAGGCTGAGGAGAATGAAGAGATTTCCAACAAAAACACAAACAACAAGCAGGATTCTGAACACCAAGTAGCCAGTGATGACCACGAGGATGATGGTACTGGTTTGGCAATTGAAAGTCCTGCAGAGGATAATGACGAGGACGATGATGATATGGATTTGGCCAATTTCCAACCCGGTGAAGATAAGCCCAAGAATAAACGTAAAAAGGGCATTATTTATATTTCCAATATACCTAAACACATGAATGTTACACGCATACGGGAGATTTTGGGTGAATATGGTAAAATTGGCAGAGTGTATTTGCAACCAGAGAAGCTGCCAGGAAGTAAGTCCTTTAGATTACTAATTTGGAACATTTAATTAAAATTATATTTATTTTTGTCTCTCTACCAGGCGACGACAAAAAGAAGAAGAAAAAACGCAAACCCTTTGCCCGCCACTTCACCGAAGGTTGGGTGGAGTTTGAATCGAAACGTATCGCCAAACAAATTGTTCCCCTGCTGAATAATAAACAAATATCGACCCGCAAGAAATCACAATTTTACGATTATATTTGGAGTATGAAATATTTACCACGTTTCAAATGGTGCCATCTCACGGAACGTATGAATTATGAGGCTGCCGTGCATAAACAACGCCTTATGGCTGAGGTGTCACAGGCCCGCAAGGAGACCACATTCTTCCAAAATAATCTGGACAAAAGTGAATTTATTAAGAAAAAGGAAAAGCAAATGAAAAAATTAGAAGATAAGAAGACTGCAAATAAAGTGTCGGTGGCGTAAGCTAAGTGTAAATATTAAAAAATGAAAAAAAATGTGTTAGAAATTTTGTGGAATTCAAGTGTGGATGTTCCGGAAATACTTTGGATTTTGGTCGAGTTAAAATATTTATGTATAAGTGATCTAGGATAAATTATCACCGTTGTTTTCTACAATCAACAATATTTTTATTCTTCAATCAACTCTCAATTCAAGTCCTCAATTCAATACAATCCGCAAGCAATAAGAGGTAATATTTGTGCTATTTTCAGTTTGTTTTGAATTAATTGCAACTATTGACTGGAATTAGTTTAATGTAATCCAATTCGAAATGTTTTATAGTCTGAATTCGAATCGGTCGCGATTCGTTTTGAACAACGATCACATAATTGACCACCAAAGTGCGTTTATTTCCCATTTAGATTCAAATAACTATGACAATATATGCACTACTTTGAACCTATTAAGATCCTGCTTACATATAATAGCAAACATACCCAGAAAGGGGCTTCCAAAGTTTGGTATAGTTTCATTTAAAATAATATAATCTTGGCATCTGTCCATAGGAGAAAGACGTATATCCATGGCCGAAGATCGGGCACACACAATACGTCCTTTTTAAGGAGTTTCTGTCGAGTAGTCAATATTGTCATATGTCTATTACATCTTAAATGACGATTCTTTTGGATAATTAAAAAGTAATAGAAACTAAAAGCTCCCTTCAGCCTCCCAATTATATATTGCTTTAGTCAATTGAAAGGTGGAAATATTCAAAATACCCCGCGGAAATTTGGATAAAATTGATTTGGACCGGATCAGTCCGCTCCAATATAATAGTCCTTATAATCCTTGACAGAAAGTCACACTTCAAGGTCCTTGAAAAAAACATTCTTCAGGGCCATCGATAGAAGATATTCCTTAAAAAAATTACGCCTAGGGAACTAACAATCCTTGAAAACATATTTATTTTAATCTACGTTTGAAGTATCCTTGAAAAGGATATGGTTCACGCAGAAGGCCTTCCCCTTCTGCGTGAACCATAGTAAGCTCGTTTTTATAAGCCTTTTGAGCACAACATGGCCTAGCCACTGTAGTTGTAGCAGCTCAATATGACTGACTATGTCGATGTCCGCGTATAGGCTGCGGTTCAGTACTCACCGTCAACGCAGATCGGCCTCTCAAAAACCCCAAGATATGTTTAGTTTATTTATTCCAAAAATGCAATTTGAAGCCATTAAGGCCGATTTCATTTAAATTGCAAACTATACTACTCCATTTAACAAGATTTCTTAATGATATCTTAGAAGGTATTATTCTAAAAATAATAATATATTTCAATGTTTGGCAAGTGGCTAACTAATCAAGTAAGTGTCTCATCTGCTTGCGCAAGTACCCATGATTCAGATCCATATAACAGCATGGGTAGTATCAGCGTCTTCTAAAGTGTGAGTTTGCTCTGGCGGCAGTTTAGAAAAACTGCTTACTTAGACCATAGTAGCATATGTTGGCCATCACAATCCTTCTCCGAATGTCAAAACTGTTGTCACTAATTTTATTAAAAAGAAAAAAAAAATTGAGAACTACAGCTTCACTACCTCGAAGCTGTAGTTCTCAAGTTCCACAGTTGGTCTGAGTCTACTGGACGTCTTGCGCGTAGATACCATCAGCTTGGTCTTCTCGCCGTTTACTGCCAGACCCACTTTGGCAGACTCCTTCTCAATATGTCCAAAGGTGGCTGTTACTGCTCTCAATGTTCGACCCATTAAGTCGATGTCATCGGAGTAGACGAGTAACTGGTGTTGTTTGGTGCACAGTGTGCCATTTCTGTTCACCTTTGCGTCTCGTATGAACTTTTCCAGCAGGATGTTGAAAAGATTACAAACTGTCACCTTGTCTGAATCCTCCTTCGGTATTGAAGGGCTCCTATAGGTCCTTTCCGACTTTAACTGCTGACAGTGTGCCACCTAAAGTTATCCTGCATAGCCGTATTAATTTTGCAGGAATGCCGAAGGCAGACATGGCTTTAAACACATCTGAGCGGTTAGGACTGTCGAATTGGGCTTTATAGTCGACGAATAGGTTGTATGTTTCGATGTGTTTTTCGTGGGTCTTTTCCAGGATATGGCGCAGAGTGAAAATCTGGTCAATGGTGGATTTTCCAGGTCTGCAGTCAAATCGGGTATTGAATTAGCTTCAAATAAATTTTTAAAGTTTCTTTAATATGGACCCTTTTTGTAGGTAGGTACCATAAGAAAGGGCAGTCGGTTCCAGTGGGTTTCATCTTCAAACTTGATACAGGCTTGGTAAAGGTAATAGGTTGTACAAAGTTCGGTTAAAATCTGATAGTCTGTTCGCATGCTATTATAAAATTAAATTTTAACACAATTTTGATAATTTTGGGGATAAATACCAAGAGGAGGGGGCCGATACTCCATTTTCAAATTCGAACTATTTTTGTGGTGGTTTGAAAAAATATTCTTTAAAAAATCCACGCCTCTGGTAACTGTTGGTTTGAAAAAATATTCTTTAAAAAATCCACGCCTCTGGTAACTGTTGGTTTGAAAAAATATTCTTTAAAAAATCCACGCCTCTGGTAACTGTTGGTTTGAAAAAATATTCTTTAAAAAATCCACGCCTCTGGTAACTGTTGGTTTGAAAAAATATTCTTTAAAAAATCCACGCCTTTGGTAACTGGTCGTTTGAAAAAATATTCTTTAAAAAATCCACGCCTCTGGTAACTGTTGGTTTGAAAAAATATTCTTTAAAAAATCCACGCCTCTGGTAACTGTTGGTTTGAAAAAATATTCTTTAAAAAATCCACGCCTTTGGTAACTGGTCGTTTGAAAAAATATTCTTTAAAAAATCCACGCCTTTGGTAACTGTTGGTTTGAAAAAATATTCTTTAAAAAATCCACGCCTTTGGTAGCCCTTGAAAAATATTCTTTAAAAAAATCTTTTAAAAAGTAATCTTAATAAAAATCCCCGCCCGTAGATCTCTCTTGCTCATTCAAAAAAATCACGTCCTCTTGTGCACCTTTTCCTCCAGTATCGTTAAAAAATTACTTCGTGTTGTCTAACCTAATGCTGCAATTTTGATTTGCCTCTAATTGCCAACCATCCAAGGCCACATAACAAAGAAGTAGTTTTGTTTTTTTTTTCTAAATACGTCTCAAATTGAACTCAAACTAGAACTTGTACCATGAGAACAGGTTGGTTGATCGGTTGGCTGGCTGTCTTGCCTGTCTATCTGTCAGGCGTGCCGGCAATGTAATTCAATAAATAAAATACAAAATGTTTTGTTGAACAACTTTTCTTTTTTATTTTTTAATTACAGAACAAATCACATTTTTTTGCATTTATTTGCTATGATGATGGCAAGTTGTTGGGGGTTTTGGAGTTCCATTGTTGTTGCTTTACAAATAAATTTACATAAATCTTATAGTAATAATTAACAATTAACAATAATAATAACAAAGGTGAGATTTAAAAAATACTTTTTTGTTGTTGGTTTAACAGGAAATATATACGTAACATAAATTGTTCTAAACAAAGAAGTAAAATATTTATATATCGACGTGTTGTTGTTTTTTTTTTTGTTCTCTCTAAACTTAAACATTATTTACAATTAAATTACAATTATACAATAATATATATTTTACAATACTAACTAATATTAATAATAATTCTAGAATAGCCGGTGCTTCTTTGGCATGCCTCTTTTGTTTCGGGGAACTAATCTTCATAGAATGCCTTGACAATTTGATGAATACTTTCATAGGTGCCGGTAATGATACCCAGCAGTGCAATTATCATAATGACCATATTTTTCAAATAGACCCAAGTACCCAAACCCTTGGGAGTTTGGGCTCGCACCACAAAATCAATGAAGACGGGGAATAAAAAGGCCAGAGAGGTGGAGCAGAGGGCACCAATCAACGAGATGAATAAATGGAGCTGTGGGACCAATAAAGCAACGCCAACTGTGGAGGAAAAGAAGGAAAGATATTAATTTGAAATCCTAAATCTCTTTGAGAGGCATTCACTTACATGTCAACAACACCATTATAAAACGGAACATAACCTGCACGGTAATGGGTCGCTTTTGGGCCGCAGCCATATTTTGCTTCAGTGGAGGCCAGATAATTTTCATCATAACAAAAAATTGGATGGGATAGCCAAAGAAGACACCCAGGGCCGCAGCAATCTTCACAGCTTGGGAAAGTCTAAAAAAAGAATCAAAAATCATTATCCCGATATGTAATAACCAAGTCGTATCATTACTCACTTATCATCTGCATCCAAATTCAATGTAATACTACCCTCAACCCCCTCACCCCATTTGGTATAGCTCACGAAGCCGGTAAATACAAACAGCAGGGTAATAATGAGCATTGAAATATTCAAAACACCAAAACGTTGATTAAATTTCTTGGGATCCTTCATCGAATTGCGAATGGGTAAAATCAAGGCAATGCCTTCAAATGAAAAGAGTGCTGTTCCGAAGAATAGAGACAATTCTGGACCAAAAGTAAAATAATGCCTCTCAGTTATCGATGGCATTGGACCATCTAAGAAGGCTAAACTCAGCGTGGCCACCAAACCGAAAAGTAAAGCGAAACTTGCAAAGGCCGATACAGGGGAGATATATTTCAAATTTGTCATCAGCGAGGGAATCATGGCGGGCAATAGACATATTAACATTGTCATGCTCATGCTAATGTCAATGCCATAACTTTGAAGGATCTGGAAGAAGAGGAAAAAATAGAAATTTGAGGTTAGGGAGACAAAATCACAGTCAGGTTACTTAGATTTCTTTACTGAGGATGGATTTTTTCTATAGAAAAAAATGTCTATAGAAAATGAGAATTTTTTTCTATAGAAAAAAGTCTTTCTCAGCTACTGAGAAATTTTTTTCTATAGAAAAAAATCTTTCTCAGCTACTGAGAAATTTTTTTCTATAGAAAAAAGTCTTTCTCAGCTACTGAGAAATTTTTTTCTATAGAAAAAAGTCTTTCTCAGCTACTGAGAAATTTTTTTCTATAGAAAAAAGTCTTTCTCAGCTACTGAGAAATTTTTTTCTATAGAAAGAAGTCTTTCTCAGCTACTGAGAATTTTTTTTCTATAGAAAAAAGTCTTTCTCAGCTACTGAGAAATTTTTTTCTATAGAAAAAAGTCTTTCTCAGCTACTTAGAAATTTTTTTCTATAGAAAAAAGTCTTTCTCAGCTACTGAGAAATTTTTTTCTATAGAAAAAAGTCTTTCTCAGCTACTGAGAAATTTTTTTCTATAGAAAAAAGTCTTTCTCAGCTACTGAGAATTTTTTTTTTATAGAAAAAAGTCTTTCAAAGCTACTGAGAATTTTTTTTCTATAGAAAAAAGTCTTTCTCAGCTACTGAGAAATTTTTTTCTATAGAAAAAAGTCTTTCTCAGCTACTGAGAAATTTTTTTCTATAGAAAAAAGTCTTTCTCAGCTACTGAGAAATTTTTTTCTATAGAAAAAAGTCTTTCTCAGCTACTGAGAAATTTTTTTCTATAGAAAAAAGTCTTTCTCAGCTACTGAGAAATTTTTTTCTATAGAAAAAAGTCTTTCTCAGCTACTGAGAAATTTTTTTCTATAGAAACAAGTCTTTCTCAGCACCCGATGAATTTTTTTCTATAAAAAAGTCTTCGTCAGCATCTGAGAAATTTTTTTCTATAGAAAAAAGTCTTTCTCAGATACTGAAAAATTTTTTTCTATAGAAAAAAGTCTTTCTCAGCTACTGAGAATTTTTTTCTATAGAAAAAAGTCTTTCTCAGCTATAGAGAATTTTTTTTCTATAGAAAAAAGTCTTTCTCAGCTATAGAGAAATTTTTTTCTATAGAAAAAAGTCTTTCTCAGCTATAGAGAATTTTTTTCCTATAGAAAAAAGTCTTTCTCAGCTACTGAGAAATTTTTTTCTATAGAAAAAAATCTTTCTCAGCTACTGAGAAATTTTTTTCTATAGAAAAAAAATTTTTTTTCAGCTACTGAGAAATTTTTTTCTATAGAAAAAAATCTTTCTCAGCTACTGAGAAATTTTTTTCTATAGAAAAAAGTCTTTCTCAGCTACTGAGAAATTTTTTTCTATAGAAAAAAGTCTTTCTCAGCTACTGAGAAATTTTTTTCTATAGAAAAAAGTCTTTCTCAGCTACTGAGAAATTTTTTTCTATAGAAAAAAATTTCTCAGTCTTTTTCTTTCTCAGTCTTTTGTGTTCCGGAAAAAGTCTTCCTCAGCTACTGCGTAATTTTTTTTTTAAGAAATTTTTTGTTTTTAAATTGATCCTCCCTTACCTGATGCATATTCTCCGTAATGAACACAAAATATATTGAACAAAATCCAAACTGGGTAATACACAAAAACATCTCCACAATAAATTTCATTATTTTCGCCAGGCGACGGAAAGGTTTAGGTCCGGCTTCAAAACACTTTTCTATGGTATCGGGATAATCATAAAATGTCGCAGATTTATTTCTTTCGACAGCCAACATCGAACCGGTGATTAGCATTTGTTCACAATGGACACAGATCACAGCAATGATGGGCATTAGAATTGTGGACCCGAAGAGGCCACCATTTTTAAAGCAATCACCCATGGCAAAGAGGCCAGCTCCGACACTGCCCTTAAATAAATGGACCACAGCCTCAAAGACACTGCAAGGGGAGGGAAAGAGAGGGGGAGAAATGGGATTTATAAGTAAATTCAAATTTTCATTTTTTTATTTCCGAAGTGAAACCTTACGTAGTCTTGTGTTTGCTCCTTCCTGTGGTGGCCTCAACATCCTGGGTTTCATTGAGGTCTGCTCTCTTTTCTGATGTGGATTCCATTGGTATTCCCATTTTGTTTTAATTGTTTTTTTCTTGTATCACAGTAGTTAATTTTTTTATTAAAAATATATTTTTTTTGTTAAAAATTTAAATGCATTTATTTATAGTTTTGTTGTTGTTGTTTCAGGAACCAGCCTTAATACTGTTGTTGTTAATCTGATAAAATAAAAAGACAAAATAATAAAAAATTAATAATAGCGGACAAGGGCTGATTCCTAATGCAGAACTTTTTTACTATGAAACTAAAGTACCGTTAACGGTTTATGCGCTCTTTTGTTTGACAGACATTTGTTTGTTTGGGTCTAGTGTTGGAAAGTAGTCGAATGACAGGTGTAATCGATCGGAGGGTTACAATAGGTGGGGATTTTTAAAGAATATTTTTCCACAGGGTTACCAAAGGCGTGGATTTTTTAAAGAATATTTTTCCACAGGGTTACCAGAGGCGTGGATTTTTTAAAGAATATTTTTCCACAGGGTTACCAGAGGTGTGGATTTTTTAAAGAATATTTTTTCAAGGCTTGCCCAAGGCGTGGATTTTTTAATGAATATTTTTTCGAGGCTTGCCCAAGGCGTGGATTTTTTAAAGAATATTTTTTCGAGGCTTGCCCAAGGCGTGGATTTTTTAAAGAATATTTTTTCGAGGCTTGCCCAAGGCGTGGATTTTTTAAAGAATATTTTTTCGAGGCTTGCCCAAGGCGTGGATTTTTTAAAAAATATTTTTTCGAGGCTTGCCCAAGGCGTGGATTTTTTAAAAAATATTTTTTCGAGGCTTGCCCAAGGCGTGGATTTTTTAAAGAATATTTTTTCGAGACTTGCCCAATGCGTGGATTTTTTAAAGAATATTTTTTCGAGACTTGCCCAAGGCGTGGATTTTTTAAAGAATATTTTTTCGAGACTTGCCCAAGGCGTCGATTTTTTAAAGAATATTTTTTCGAGGCTCGCCCAAGGCGTGATTTTTTAAAGTATATTTTTTCGAGACTTGCCCAAGGCGTCGATTTTTTAAAGAATATTTTTTCGAGGCTCGCCCAAGGCGTGATTTTTTAAAGTATATTTTTTCGAGGCTTGCCCAAGGCGTGGATTTTTTAATGAATATTTTTCAAAAAATAATTTAATAATTTACCTGAGTATTCTATGCAGACTTATAGTAAGAGGAATAAATCCTTGTCCTTAGGAATATTTTATTTAGGAAGACTATTTTTTGTATTTCGAGAAAATGTAACCGACTGCTTACAATTTACAGATAACACTAAGTAAAAATCCAGCTAGTGAAGCAGTATTTAAACCCTATAATATCTATACTTTTTCCTTAAGTACCCCATTCATTCCGCCATCTTAGTTTTATCTACCAAAAGTATTTAATATTATTATCAACAATGGAAATTATTGCAATGAATGTCAGTGAACTTTGAAATTATTGGAGAAGTCGTTTTTTGTTCATTCAAAGAATTACTGCGTGTAGTCAATTTCAAGATGTTTGGCACTCCAGTTCCGTACACATGCCCCAGTTTTTTTTTTGTTGTACTTGTAAAATGTGTCTACAAACAATTCAATTCAATTGGAAAAGTGTTTGATGACGTAGAAGAGGTGATTTTGAAATTATCTACAATGACTCGTTATTTTTTCCACACCCCTGACAATGTCCCCGAATTGGGGGGTACTTCAGATGACAACGACAAGCGCCATATTAGATATAAATTTGATAGACGTCTGATGACTTTGGTAAGATAGGATCATAGGAAATATTCGTAGGAAATTAAATAGAGATAAACCTTCAATAATATTTCAATAATAATATGATAAACCTCGAAAAAATATTCTTTAAAAAATTCCCTCCTTGGTAGACCCCTTAAAAATATTCTTTTAAAAAAACTTTGAAAAAATATTCTTGAAAAATACACGAACCCTCCCTAGAAATAAATTCGCAATAATTTTCCATTACGTTTACATGTTTAATTCTGAACTATAAAATATCAGATTTATTTTGGGCTGTATGAAAAATATTTCAAATTCTTAATTGTTATTGTTAAATTTAATTAAAGCACGTTTCAGAACGATACACAAATTACAAGATTTATTACAATAGACAATACCGTCATATACATAGACACTTTTTAATACTTTGATTATCTATATTTCAAAATATGGAAATTCATAACACATTCTTTCACGTTTTTTTTTTTGTATTGTTCAATTTTATTTTTCATGACGTGACTCGTATATAGACGGAAGTGTAGAAAAAAATATTGAAATATAAAATGAGTTAAATATTTGTATGGAATAGCGGAACACTAGTTCAGATGCCGCCTGGTAACTGTTGCTACACGGATGGCTCTTGACTATGAGGAAAAACTGGACTAGGACTTTTTATCGAAGAACCGGGTACTGAAATTTCTCTTCGTCTTACAGATCACAGCACGACCTTACAGGCGGAGGTTCAAGCTATAACAGAGTGTCTTAACTGGTTAATTTCAAACCAAAGACAAAATACAGTAAATATTATTACGGACAGCAAGCAAGCTATAAAGGCAATATCATCCAGAACAGTTAAATCCAAAACTGTACTAGAATGTATAAATACCATTAAAGATTTCTCACAACAAGGTCCTGTACGAATTATATGGATACCGGGTCACCAAGGAATCATAGACAACGAGATAGCAAATCAACTAGCCAGGAGTGCCATTGCACTACCCACAATAGAGGTGTATACCGCCAAACCCTTTAGCGAAACACGCCAAGAAATGAGGGAATGGACACATGAGACCCACAAAACCCTTTGGGATAATGAGGGGACCGGAAAAATCACCAAAATCTTATGGGGCGACCCAAGTGAAGACAAAACTAAGCAAATCCTAACGCTAAACACAAAAAGAAATAAGCCGACTGACGGGTGTTCTGACGAGACACCTCGGCCTGAAGACACATCTTCTCAAGATTGGATGCGAAGGAAGTAACGAGTGCAGAGCGTGTGGGGAAGATAGTGAAACGCTGGAACATTTCCTATGCCATTGTCCAGCATTTACATGCCTTCGGAGACAATTCTTGGGAAATGACACTCTTCACGGACTAAGCGATCTGAGGGGGTGTGAATGGAAAAGACTGAATGAGTTCGCAAAAAAGGATTTAAGGCGTGGATTTGTTAAAGAACATTTTTTAAGCTCCCTATGAAAGCAAGGATTTAAGATTTGTTAAATAACATTTTTTCAATGGGGTCTACCAAGGCGTGGATTTTTTAAACAATATTTTTTCAAGGTCCCTATGAAGGTAAGGATTTAAGGCGTGGATTTCTTAAAGAATATTTTTTCAATGTCCCTATGAAAGCAAGCATTTAAGGCGTGGATTTGTTAAGGAGCATTTTTTAAGGTCCCTACGAAAGCAAGGATTTAAGGCGTGGATTTGTTAAAGAACATTATTTAAGGTCCCTATGAAAGCAAGGATTTTAGGCGTGGATTTGTTAAAGAAAATTTTTCCAAGGGGTCTACCAAGGAGTGGATTTCTTAAACAATATTTTTTCAAGAGGTCTACCAAGGCGTGGATTTCTTAAACAATATTTTTTCAAAGGGTCTACCAAGGCGTGTATTTTTTAAACAATATTTTTTCAAGGGGTCTACCAAGGCGTGGATTTCTTAAACAATATTTTTCAAGAATATTTTTTCAAGCTGCCTATCAAGGCGTGGATTTTTTAAAGAATATTTTTTCAAGCTGCCTATCAAGGCGTGGATTTTTTAAAGAATATTTTTTCAAGCTGCCTATCAAGGCGTGGATTTTTTAAAGAATATTTTTTCAAGCTGCCTATCAAGGCGTGGATTTTTTAAAGAATATTTTTTCAAGCTGCCTATCAAGGCGTGGATTTTTTAAAGAATATTTTTTCAAGCTGCCTATCAAGGCGTGGATTTTTTAAAGAATATTTTTTCAAGCTGCCTATCAAGGCGTGGATTTTTTAAAGAATATTTTTTCAAGCTGCCTATCAAGGCGTGGATTTTTTAAAGAATATTTTTTCAAGCTGCCTATCAAGGCGTGGATTTTTTAAAGAATATTTTTTCAAGCTGCCTATCAAGGCGTGGATTTTTTAAAGAATATTTTTTCAAGCTGCCTATCAAGGCGTGGATTTTTTAAAGAATATTTTTTCAAGCTGCCTATCAAGGCGTGGATTTTTTAAAGAATATTTTTTCAAGCTGCCTATCAAGGCGTGGATTTTTTAAAGAATATTTTTTCAAGCTGCCTATCAAGGCGTGGATTTTTTAAAGAATATTTTTTCAAGCTGCCTATCAAGGCGTGGATTTTTTAAAGAATATTTTTTCAAGCTGCCTATCAAGGCGTGGATTTTTTAAAGAACATTTTTTCAAGCTGCCTATCAAGGCGTGGATTTTTTAAAGAATATTTTTTCAAGCTGCCTATCAAGGCGTGGATTTTTTAAAGAATATTTTTTCAAGCTGCCTATCAAGGCGTGGATTTTTTAAAGAATATTTTTTCAAGCTGCCTATCAAGGCGTGGATTTTTTAAAGAATATTTTTTCAAGCTGCCTATCAAGGCGTGGATTTTTTAAAGAATATTTTTTCAAGCTGCCTATCAAGGCGTGGATTTTTTAAAGAACATTTTTTCAAGCTGCCTATCAAGGCGTGGATTTTTTAAAGAATATTTTTTCAAGCTGCCTATCAAGGCGTGGATTTTTTAAAGAACATTTTTTCAAGCTGCCTATCAAGGCGTGGATTTTTTAAAGAATATTTTTTCAAGCTGCCTATCAAGGCGTGGATTTTTTAAAGAACATTTTTTCAAGCTGCCTATCAAGGCGTGGATTTTTTAAAGAATATTTTTTCAAGCTGCCTATCAAGGCGTGGATTTTTTAAATAATATTTTCTTAAGGCATTTTGACATTCTTTTTGCTCGAAATATACAGCGGAGACCCCATCAAGAATATATATTTTGTTAGAAAATAAATCATTCTATATCGATGTACCCATGTCCGACTGTTGAAATCACGATAGAGATCTCAATATTTAAAATGTCAGATA